ATATCAGGAAGGCAACTGCAAGTGTTGGGCCCAAAAGTACTTCTGGTTTATGCTTGAAAAGACCATGGAATATGCTTCTAAACATACCAAACACAGGCATGTGTGCAGTGTGTTCAGTATCCTCTCCTTAAGTCATCAGTACAATCTAGCACAGATTCCAATTCTTTCTACCGCACCCCCAAGGAATTCAAATCATTATTGGTGCATTAATAAAGAGAAAATGCATATCAACAACTGGAAGGCTGTTTTACAAGAGGAGCTGGTATCTCTGATTTCGTTTCCTTGTTGTATGGAACTGCACAGACAGCATGATACCTGAGCAAATAAATCAACTACCATGATAGGAAGGGCTTGTTAATCCAGAGTCTTTGCTTTATTGTGTGCAAAGTGTGCTACTGCCCCCTGAGCTTCCTGCATTTCTCTTTTCTTGAAAAATCAGTGCTTGATCCTTTCCAAAATAACCAGAGAAGAAATGAGGCAGAAAGTTATCTCTTCATCACGGTTCCCCCTCAGTCCCGAGACTGATAGAAAAGGATGTAACCAGACTCAGAGTTCTTTGAGATATCTGATGTCAACCCGTAGAATTCTTCAATAGCTTGTGCATCTATTTTCTGTAAGGTAAAAATGAAAACATCAGGACATAAAAAAGCTCTGGACAACCAGAATGGCTCMAATTAACAAGACTAATAATATCAAGTATTGGTGAAAATGGAGGCAAATGGAATTCTCTCACATGGCTAGTGGGAAAGTAAAATTAGTACAGCCACTTTGGAAAAATGTTTAGCAACATTTATGAAGCTGAACATGCAACTACCCTTTTATTCTGCAATTATACCTCTAGGTTTAGGTTGAATCATATAAAACACACTATTGTCAATCATTTTGGACTTAAAAAATGGTATTTTCCAATGATCTGACCAAATATAAATCCAAGAAAAGTTGAGTATATATTGTCCAAAAAAGGATTTGTGCAAGAATGATTAAAGCACTTTTGCTCAATAATAGTTAATAATGACAAAAGGCCAAATTTCTCACTTGGTGTATTCATATAATAGAAAAGATCAAAGCAATGGAAAAGAACTACTACTACCACTATAGGCAACAATGGAACTGAATTGCACAATATATTAATATTATATTAATAAGTGAAAAGGGTCAATTACAAAAGTCAGACTGTATAAATACATTTATACTCAAATAGTCAAAATTAACTTTTTTGGCCACGTAAGCTCCAGGCTTGAACATTATGAATTTAAAAAGTAGGAATCAGCTTAYAATCTAAAGACCTGGACATTTAGTCTAATATTCATCATCAGCCATATGTGATTGAGAAACTATGAGAAAAAAATGTGAAGAGTAAAATATACACATAACTTTTTAAAAAATTATAAAAATAAGAAACTACTTACTTCTACAATGTCGTCATCAAACAACAACCAAAAATCATGACTCTTAACTATTGCAATATAATGGCCTCGATTGGGACCACTAAAACAAATGGAAAAAGAAAGAAAAGTTAATTTGGTATGAATTAACTTCACTGATATTACTTTCATAACCTAAATTTCAGGTTCTATAGAGAAACTAGAAAAGATATCTATTATCTGTTCTTTCTAAAACAAACCTACACTGGTTTTAAATGCCATCCAATTTTAAAATCAAACCATCAGTATAAGTTTTCCAAAACCAAGGGGAAAAATGATGAGTATCCTATTTTTAAAAATTATTAAAGGGAATTGTGGGCAGTCATTGAAAACTGTGTGTTCCAAATCCAAGTTTTCATTACATGATCCTCTTTAGTCTAGAATTTTTGAGTTATAAATTTAAAAAAACAAAAAAACGAAAACAACCCAAAACTTCTCTCCTCCTACTTCATGCAGAGAATACATGTATACCATGTTGTGTTGGAAAGGTGCATGAGTAAAAAGACTGTACACTAAATTAGCCAGTGATAAATACTCACACTGGTAAATCAGAAAAGTGAACAAGATTATTTCCAAAGTTATTTTAAATGTTTTTCATAACCATTAACAAAATGAACACCATATCAATTCACCYGAGAAATTATTTATTTTGTAAAATCTATTTAGGCAGCATCATTTTACCAAGAACCACTACTACACACATGCACACCTGCGCACACACACCCCCCACACACGCACGCTCACACACACACACACAACCCCAAAACTGACAGACTTTAAAGTTAAGACATAGTGCCCTTAAAGTAATAATATAAAGGCAATAGTTTAATATAACAAAGTTTTAAGGAAAAATGTAAAACTCCATTTTAAAGTAAGTAAACTTGTCTTATAAAGAATAAAGAACGTCTAAAAGCTCTCCATTAGAATCATCCACGAACATCCTGAACGTGTCTGCTCTATTCACTATATGGCTTCAGAACTGCAATTACCTTCCACAGTGAACCACAACAGCAACAAGGTCGTACATTCTGTCAGGATTGGTTGCATCACCCGAAGTGTTAAACAGACGGAGTTCTAAAGGAAAAACTACTCGGTAAGAAAGTTTTGTGTATCGATGAAGTTGATCCATATATTTAAATCTCTTCAGGTGTAGAGCTAGAATCATAGGCAGTTTTTTAACTTTCATCCTATTTTTAAAATAAAGATGAAAAATACAGTTTCACAAGAGACATCCACCATRTTCATATCAAACTTTATGATTTCGACTTTACAGATAATAGTCCAGCACTGCACAGTTTTACATATTTCTACCAATTATTTTTATATTGGAAAAATGCATTGTCACCATCACCAATTCATGTAACAATTTGGTACAACATTCAATATGGCTCGGAGGAAACAGGGAATGACACCAGTCCTYCATTGAGAAATCTGTTTTTCAAACACAGACCCCATATAAAAAGACTAAATAAATGAAAATAATGCCTAGGAGCAGTGGTGGAAAAACATGTTCCTTGAAGCTGCCAATTACAATGGACTGAGTGTAGATTGAAACCCATTTGTTCTATCAATCTAGTTAAAGCAAGAACAGACTGACAATAGGAGACTGAAACAAGAGAAGTATTAAATTAAAGATCACTGAACTAGGGGTATATGCCAGAGTTAAGAAATAGCTCCATATCAAGAATGACAATGACATATATCCTAGAAAGGGAATAAAATAACCTGAAAATTTAGGACTTTAGTTTTTTAAGTGTAAAACCAGGCTTACCTTTACATTTTAATGATCTTTGCTATGAGCACTAATGCTATTTCTCCCCTGAGACTATCTTGGCATGTCATCTACAACAGTCTATTCTAGATTCTAAGGCCAGCTCTAGAGTTAAGCTCTCTAGCACAAATGACTGTACTCCTCACTACTCTATCAACTCTTTATAAATGTCAAGATTACATGGTAAAAAAAAAACTTATGGTTCATTCTCTTTTTCTAAGATCTGAACTCCTGGCATACAGAAACCTTTTCTTTCATTTTTATTTCCCAATGACCTAACAACATGTCTAGCACATGATAGATACTTGCCTATTTTTTTTTCATTTTTTAATTTTAGTTGTAGATAGACACAATACTTTTATTTTATTTATTTATTTTTATGTGGTGCTGCGGATCAAACCCAGCTACAACCCCAGCCCCTATACTTGCCTAATGTTGCAGAACTCAATTTGATATGGGTTCAGTGGAGCAAACTTTTAAATTTCATAATTTAAAATGAAATTATGTCATTGCCTCTAATGAAGGGGAAAATAATTTCATAAAAATACATTAAATCTGCATTCTACAAATCTTAAATATGGTAGGCAACTTATTATTCCAAAAATATTTACTGTTTAATCTTGCCTGTTTTTAAAAAAAGGACAAAAATCATACCTAGGCATTCCTTGAAAASAATCTAGTAATGTGAATAAATAGCCTTTATGAACTGTCTCAGAAATCTCATTTCTTTAATATAAACTGAATGTCATCTCAAATATAGCACTTATGAGAAAGTCTATTTCTAGAATAATATGAAAAATTCTCACTTACAAAAAATCAGTGTACACAGGGAAGACATTAACTCCTAATTAGGATTTAACTGACATTTATGGAACACTATCCCAAATGGCAAAACACATATTCAATTAGGACATTCACCAAGCTAATGGACAATAAAAGCCATCTCAATAAATGTCAGAAGATTGACATCACAGAGTATGTCCTGATAAAAACAAACAAAAATTTAGAAAATACTCCAAATATGCAAACAAAGCAATACACATCTAAATAAACCATGGGACAAACAGAAAATCACAAGGGAAATTGGAGTATTTTGAAATGGACAACAATAAAAATACAATTTCCTCTCTATTTTAGGTCATATTCCCCCCAAAGCAGATCCAGAAACAAAGGAACATGCCTGTGACTTACTAATTATACTAGTGCTCCCTGGGGAGGGAAGGAAGGTGAGGAAGAATTCAGTCCCAGGCAAAATCCCAGAGAGGGCAGCTTCCACTCAGTTCTACAGGGAACTACTATGAATTTCACCTCAGATTTCTCCCAAGCACAGCAAGGCAGCTAGGCTTTCACACCCTCTCAGCACCTTTCAGTCACCCATCAAGGACTCTGAATGCTGAAAAGAAATTACCAGAATTCCCCCAAATTCCCTTCTCCATCAGCCCCAGGGGTGTGAGGCAGTATATTGTGCGGTTCTGATCTTCAAAGAGGAAGGATTAGATAAGGAAGCACTCCAAAGCACTGGGAGACCAAATAAGGGGAACTCCTTAAGAAAGGAGCCTATTTGCAAATACATTCTGGAAAAGGCTACCTTATAAAACCTAAATTTCTTTTATTCTATAAGTCTCCTCAGGAGTCTACAATATAAAAGCMAATTTTATTCTATAACAAATTCATTTCATCAGTAATATCTATTTTGTGGTGTTCTAACATTTCCAGAATCCATTTTTCAGTGTTCTCAGGTTGAACCTTTTTGAGTGACACAGTACTCAGAGTGCATACTTTTATTGTGGTAAAAAAAGTAACATAAGGTGTATCATCGTAACTATTTAAGTGTACAGTAAGTACCACAGTACTAACTATATGAACATTAGTGGCACAACATATTTCTAGGACTTTTTTATTTTCAAACACTAAACAACTATTCACTTTCCTCCTCCCTAGGCCCTGGCAACCACGACTCTATTTTCTAAGACTYTGACTACTTTTGATACCATATAAGGGAAAATACAGTACTTGTAGTTTTGTGAYTGGCTTGTTTCACTTAGCATGTCTTCAGGGTTCATCCATGCTATGGCATATAACACAAGATTTCTTGTTTTTATAAGGTTGAATATTGTCTGCTATATGTATATACCACATWTTCTTTATCCATTCATCTGGGGAGGGACCCTTGGGTTCCTTTCTCCTTTTGGTTATTATGACTAAATGTTACAATGAACATGGGTGTGCAAATATCATTTAAGAGCCTGTTTTCAATTCTTTTAAAACATTAATGATATATTTAAATTGTTCAGGAATCTATTTTCCATAGCAGCTGTAAAATTTTGCATTCCTACCAACAGTGCACATGAGTTTCAACTTCTCCACATCATCACCAAAACTTTCTTTTCTTTTTTTTTTTTTTTTAATGGTGGCCATCCTCACAGGTGTGAGGCAGTATATTGTGTTTCTGATCTGCATTTTCCTGATGTCTGATGACGTTGATCATCTTTTCATATCCTTGCTGTTCATTTGTGTATCTTCTTTGAAGAAATACCTATTTGAGTCCTGCATCAATTTTTGAACTGAATTGTGATTTTGATTAATATCCGGAATATATTAATATATATTAATATTCTGGATATTAAAAACTTTTCAAATATATAGTTTGCAAATATTTTCTCCCATTCTGTAGGTTCTTTCCACTCTACAAACAATATGGTTTACATTGGACAATTTTATTTCTGGGAGTCTGGAATTTGGTGTGTGCCAGGCAGAGAGTACTCACGGTACTGGCTCCCAATATATCTCTTAGGCAATGAGTCTGTGACTAGATTCCCATGATGTCGCTATGCTAGAGGATAAGTGTTTGTATGACTCCCCTGAGACAATGACTCATGGAGGCTTGCCTGACTTTCCTGTTCGCTGACATGTGTATCCTTTCCCAGTGATAAAACTTGGCTGTGAGCATGATTATTTACTGAGAACTGTAAGTCCTTCTAGGAAACCACCAAACATAGGGATGCTCCAAAACATGGCACACATCAAAATTGTATGCTGCTTAGCAGGATATAATGAGAAGAGTAGAGCCTCACTTCCGTTTCTTATGATTGTAAGGTGAATCTAATCATGCAATGATAACATTGGAGCTATTCTATAAAATAATGAACCTATGGGTCTCAAGAGAGTTACGATCATTAAAGTCAAGAAAAGACTAAAACACTTTACCAAATTTACTACAGACACATGAAAACTTAAAAGTAATTTGTGATTCTGGAATAGATCTTGCTTTTATAAGAAATTAATGAACTAGGTTATGATACTAGAATCAGACCTGAAAAACAGTCTATTACTTTCCTGATTTGAATGAACATGTAGAAAAACTTCTTGGTTGGTTGGAAAAACCTACTAAAGTATCCAGGGTCATGAACCACAATATCAGTAACATAGTTTTAAATGGTGTATTTAGGCTGAGGGGGGGGAAAGCATTCCTAGTATTATTCATACAGCTTTTCTCTAAGTTTGAGAATGCTCCAAAATAAAAAGCAAAGTAACAATGATAGTGATGGTTACATTCCTTGACACCAAAGGAATGTGATACACTAGAAGAACATACAATATCCTACCGCAGAATAGCAGAAACTTGGATGGAGTGCAAGACACACTTTCTCCAGAGGGAGACAAAAGTCTACAAATAATCAAAAAAGTTTCAAGCATTTTATGTGTACTAATTTTTGATTTTTCATGCAATCATTAACTATACAAAATCACCTGAGGTTACAGAGTTTATAACCAAAGCAATGACTGGGTAGAATATCATTTATCCAATAATACACAAGGAGCCTTAACTGTTGTGACAACATTAAAAATTTTACTCAATGTAAAATTTCAAAGATCACTTTCATCTAGAAAAGCCCATCTCCAACACCCATGGCCAAAGAATCACTAAAACATCCAAGTCACCAACTTACCGTTTATGTGCTTCCTGCTTGCTGCGACACTCTTCACAGTAATATTTGTATTCACTGCACAGAGTTTCTGTGTTGCTAAAGCCCCTGTATAAAATTCAAAATAAATTTATTTTGTGAATACCAGAAAAATCATAAATTTGTTTAAAAATATTTTAAACAAAAATCAATAAATTTTTCAAAATGAATAATTTTACACATACCTTAAACAATGAGTAATTGATGTGTTTTGTTCCACGTCAACAGAAAGGTCTAAAAAATCTTCATCTTTGCTGCTTATCTGTAAAAATAGGCAATTATGTTTGATTTCTTCAAATATTAGGAAAYCTCGGGTTCCCAGTTGACAGAATTAAAGCATCCTATTAATCACATGAAATTATTCTTTTTCTTTAAGTTCAAAAGCAAACTACTTGATTTGGATTATCCAAAAGGACAATGAATATATAACCCTTGTCACCTGTATAGATAAAAACACCAAAGTAAACATGTGACTGATTCTCTTAATACCAAAGGATAATATGCTGGGAAATTTCATTACTTTCCAAAATCCTAGTGTTATTTCAAAGCATGGAACAAATTATACTACATATAATCTTTCTTTAAAAACAGGCTGAGACTGAATCAGAATGCTTGACAAAGGACATGTTAACTGCAGTGTTTTTTTAAGAAAATAAATTTAGTCCAAAAGATCAAATTACAATCTTCATTTATAATCTACCTTTATTTCTGCCAAAACTCTAATACAAGTTTTGTTTTATGAGTGAAGCATCTTATAAAGTTACTCTTACCTATTTGAGTGAAAACAGGAAGAACTTGAGATAAATTTCACTATCTTTTCCCTTAAGTCTAATCCCCAAGTGAGCATATCAGAGACATGCCTGAGACATGAGCCTTAACTGCTGCCTCTCATCCATACTGACTATACATTCAGTTGATTAAAGGTTTTCTTGTTTTAAAAAAGCATCAATGTAGGCTGGGGTTACAGGTCAGTGGTAGARCGCTTGCCTTGCACATGTGAGGCACTGGGTTAGATCCTCAGCATCACATAAAAATAAACAAGTAAAGATATTGTGTCTATCTTTCAAAAATCTTTTTTTAAAAAAGCATCAATATTACAAGCTCAGTATCATGACGTTGTAATTAGAGGGCTGTACACATGATATAGTTAGACAGCAGTAAACAGGGTACTRTGTATACTGTATTAATATATAGTTTAAGGGAATTTCAAGAGTGGTTTTTATTCTACTTAATTTCTACATTAAGCTAATCTTGAAACCTAAACTCTCACATAAAATACTATTCCACTATACAACACAAAGAGAATAATACTGTAATTGATTTGAATCTCAAAAAGAAACAAAAAACAGTGAAAAAGAAAGGGGAAGAAAGAATTCAAAAACAGTAAGGGAACATGATATATTTAAGGAAAAATAATTAGCCCAAATTAATAGGAAACTCAAAGGCGACAAGGGATAATACAGCACAGGAGACTAAAGCCAGTTCAGACAGGGATTTATGTCTAGGCTAAAAAGAAATATTAAAAAACCTGGATTTAAGAAATTTGTTTCTCAGAATGAGGTTCTCAGATATTGCCTCAGGGGTCTGAATTTTAAATGTTTACTTTTAGGATAACATAAAAACTGACAAGTTTTTTTTTTATTTTATTTTTTTTATGTTTTAGGATAACATAAAAACTGACAAACTGCTCTGGATCATCTAGGAATATCTGAGTTCTATGTTTGTGGCTATGATTATGTTGGTTCCAGCTAGTCATCAAACAAGGCAGTATTTCACTTTTACAAGTGGTTGTAGARAGAAACCTGATAGCTGCTGGGCTAATATAATGTGTCTTAATGTCATATCCAGTTATTAGGAGATACCAGCCCCAAACTCAGGGAAGACACGGTGATCTCCATGATCTCCATCTGAGACTGAGCTTGTGATTTATTAGCACATATGGTAATTAAAAATAAACAGTCCAATGCAGCATTAAAAGCAACCCACAATGAAACCCTCAGCAATACCTAGAGAAAAAATGGAAAAAGAAAAGCCAAGAATTGAATCTGAGAAGGAACCTTCATAGAACAAAGAATACCAGAAGATAGAGTTACAGAAGACAGTCTGCTCCCCACTGAAACATTAACAGCCACATTAGTAAAATACATGTACTAGCTCCTCCAGAAAGCCATCTCTTACCTTCCAAACATTTTCTATTCCCATAGTACATTTGGTCTACCATTTTCTGACTTACAGGGCATCTTGTGCTTACTTTTACCATAACACTGTGCAGGAACTATTTATTATTGGCCGCTCTTCAGTATATTACAAGCCTCTTGATTTCAGAGATTTAATGTCTGAATCATCTTCTTATTCACTACTTATAGTCTACCTGGCATAGTTAGATCTTAAATATTTGTTCAATACTGAACAAAGAAATGATAGTCACTCTTCAGGGGTCCTGGATTCTATCCCTCTATTTTAGTTTGACAGAGACATGGCACTATGATCAATTACTGAATCTGTACAATGATGAATTTTAATTCTGAGGAAATATTCTCAATTGATGCTTAATTCTTGTAAAATGATCTGCAAATATATACTGCAGGCTACAGAAGGACTTAATGAAGAATGGACAAAAAGATCAGTATCTATCCCTTACAAGTCACATTAGTAGTTAAGCTCTTTGAACAAGAAGGGTTGGTATAACTTTCTCCTTCAAAAATGTTGYATCTCTAACCCCTCCCATTCCTACACTACAAAACATATTTTTAAGGGCATTGGCAGTGTCCCAAAGGCATACAGAGGGCCCCAAATATACCTTGCTAGCCTTGTCCATTACTGCATGTCTTAACATGCTAAGCAAATTCAACTATTTTGCTTCTCTGAACAATACTGAATGATACATATTCTGACATCTTCTAACACAAATCAAATTACATTAAAATAAACTTCCAAATTTCCTGATTACACCTATTATTCCAATAAAATACTATCCTAATGACTGACACTATGCTTCTCAAAGCTTGAAATTCAGTTATAGGAACATTTCTTCTTACAAAACACATCTAAAAACTCCTGCTAAAGTAACTAGAGTCCATGCAGATGAGTATTTAGCCCAATTCCCGACACCGAACACTGTCCAGCTGTCATTACCACAATTAACTGACGCCTGCAGCATGAAAACCAGCTTATACCAGAGATCCTTACTCTAACCCAAAACATCTTCAGAGACTACTATTAATGTATTCAAACACTCAGGCACACCTCCTACACTTGGCTTGAATGAGGTTGACCACTACGACTTTATTTAGGAAATATCCAACAAAAGGGATACTTCCCCTCCTTAAGTGTACAAAATATGCTTCAATTTTTCTTCCAATAATACAGTATACATAATTACAGGAAAAGGAAAAACAACATACAGCCATATGCCACATAACATCTTGATCAACAACTGACTATACACAGAATGGTGGTCCCATCAGATTATAACAGAACTGAAAATTGTCTATTGCCTAATGATGTCATAGCCATCTTACTGTAATACAACACATTATTCATGTATTTGTGATGATGCTATGTTAGGAGCCACAGCAAAAATATTGATATAGGCACCTTTGGATTTTATGACTGCCAGCCAGCAATTCACATTCATATGGTAATTGGACTCATGCTGTTTAGCTGGGCCCATTTCAGGACTCAGGTTACTCATGTCACTCTTGTAATGGGAGAGTTCCCATTGGCTGGAATAGGATGGTAGGAGGGTGTTCCGGGGGAAGTGGAAGTGTTTTAGAAACAGTACAGAACACTTAATGGTAGTTTTGTTACTACTTTATGTATTTACTATAGTTGTCATCACTATGCAGAGTATTTTCTTTCCACAGGAAAAGGTTATTGTAAAAAGTATGCTTTGTGGGYTGGGGTTGTGGCTCAGTGGTAGAGCGCTYGCCTAGCATGTGTGAGGCCCTGGGTTCGATCCTCAGCACCACATAAAAATAAGTAAATAAAGGTATTGTGTCCAACTACAACTAAAAAATAACATTTTTTTAAAAAAAGTATGCTTTATTACACTGGCAGCAGCCTCATACACCATGTGTTTACCATATCTCTTGAGGTCATGTCAAATAATTGACTGATGGTATCTAGTTTGYGTAAGTACCCTCTAGGATGTTCTACAATGGCAAAGTCACCTAATGCCACTATTATGATTTGGATATGAGGTGTCTCCCAATAAGCTCATGTGATAGACAATGTAGGAATGCTCAGACATGAAACGATTAGATTATGAGTGGTAACCTAATCACTAGAGATGCTTACTCTACTACTATTAATGTATTCAAATACTGAGGCACACCTACCCATTTGATAGGTAATAATTTGAATGGATTACTGGGTGGTAACTGTACGCAGGTGGGACATGGCAGATGCTTACTCTAACCCAAAACATCTTCACAGACTACTATTAATGCATTCAAATACTGAGGCACACYTACCCATTTGATGGGTAATAATTTGAATGAATTACTGGGTGGTAACTGTACGCAGGTGGGACATGGCTGGAAGAAGTAGGTTACTGGGGACATGTTCTTACAGATCATATTTTGTCTCCTCCCTCTCTTTCTCTCTTTCTCTGTGTTTTTTTAGCTGTCATGAGCTGAGTTCCTTTCCTTTTACACCCTTCTACCATGATGTTCTGTCTCACCTCAGACCTAGAGCAATGGAGTTGGCCAATCATGGACTGAACCTCTGAAATCATGGACCCAAAATAAAATTTCTACTCCTCCAAGTTTTCTTGTCAAGCATGTTGGTCATAGTAACGCAAAGCTGATTAACACAGTGCTTTTCTCAGAATGTATATCATTAGGTTTCCAATGGCTTTCAAATTAAGACAATTTCCACAACATGGTTCTTCTGACCTCCTTAACTGAAACAAAATCAAACACTTCAGACTGCAAGTATTCTCCTATCATCTCAGGTATTCACTGTTAATAAGCAGCATTACATAAAAGCAGATTCCTGTACAATTAAAAGTACATCTTTAACATTACATTATACCTAAGAATTTTAGCTTTTAAGTTTATCTTCTATACTCTCATCCTCAAAGAACTTTTAACATAAAGAATTAAATTTTTTTCCATACAAAATTTAATGATATACTTACAGTTTCACAAGTAAGACATCTGGTTTCATTAGTTAATGTTCCCTGAAAAATCTCATGTACCCACGTTGGGTCTGGTGTGCTGTTATTATTTTCACTATCAATATTACCATTAGGTAAACGACCATTTTGTTTTTCCTGCTTTCTCTCTTCTTGTAAAATATCAGCAATTGTATTTAGTAGATAATTTAAGAATTCATGGGCATCTTGCTGCATGTAGTTGTCAAAAAGCTCTAAAAATATAAATGGAATTAGAGAATTATTTCAGAATTAATACCTTCATAACAAATTTTAAAACAGTAATTTTTATCAGAACTAAAAGGACAAATGTGTAATATTATCTGTAATGTACAAGAAAACAAAACTTTTGCATCTAAAAATTATGACTGGATTAGAGGAAAATAAAGATGAAAATCGTTTTTTAAAAAATACTGATCCATGAGAAAAGGAAAAAACCTATTCTCACACATTTGCACAGTAGATAATGGAAAGATAAGAATCAATTATTCTATAAGGTAAGCTTTAAAGTAGAAGCTAGACAACCATTTGCCAAGAATAAGCCAACTGCTTAAGAGCCACAGTTTATTAAATGTAAATTTACTGAAGCCAGCATGGTAGTGCATGCCTGAAATCCCAGCAACTCAGAAGGTTGAAGCAGGAGATAACAAGTTAGAGGCCAGCCTCAGTAAGTTAGCAAGGCCCTCAGCAACCAAGACTCTGACTCAAAATTAAAACACAAAAATAAAAAGGATTGGGGATATAGCTTAATGGTAAAGTGCCCATGAGTTCTATCTCCAGTAAAAAATAATTGATTAATTAATTCATTATTTGATTACTGGGCCATATATCCAGAGTTTGATTTAGTAGGTGAGGGGTGAAGCCCAGAACTTGGGAGCTTTTGAAAGCTCCTCTGGGTAACAATGCTATGAAGTCAGGTTTTGATATCATATTAGGAATTATCTATTTAAACTAGATCATCTCTAGAGTGTCCTCCAACTGTGAGATTTTATAATTTCATGAATGTTCCCTGTACTTATAAAAATGAGGACATAAAATGGAAACACTGACAGTGCTAATATCAAGCACTGGGCTTTGACATGATACAACCCTATCATAGAACTCTGTAAGAACTTCAGAGGCAGTATCTCGTTTGATCCTCTTAACAACAATATGATATTGTTAGCAACCTTATTTTTCAGTTAGAAATTGAGATCATAAAGAGTAAAGTTACACTACCAGGAAAGGCAGAGCACAAGATTCATACCAGGCAGCCTGACTCCACCAGGCAACATATGTGTACTAATGCASAGTGTGAACCTAACTTAACTAAACAAGAACACCTATGCATTATTAAATGAATTGCATTGAAACAAAATTACCTATTTAGGAAATTTTTAGATCTTCAATGAAGGATTAAAATTATACTGTTTAAATGAATGCACATATAATTTAGAAGAAAAATTAGGACTAAAAGTTCCAGAAGGACTAAAATTGTACTGTTTAAATGAATGCACATATAATTTAGAAGAAAAATTAGGGAAAGTCAAAGCAAAGAGAAATAAAAATTACATTTTAAAAGAGCTACAGATATGACTGCACAAAATTAAGTTCTATGCATTAGAAATCATTTTAGAAATTAAAAAAAATGAAACCTGAAAATCTTCCATAATGCAATAGAAAACAATTTCTCATACCAAAGAAAACTAAAAAGGACTTAAAATCAATGATTTGTACAAGATCAAAAGGTCAGGAAACATGAGAAAATGTTCAACCTTTGCCTATCCTGCCTGTAAAATAAGAATATCATCTTCCTTTGCAAAATTACCGTATAAATGAGAACAAGTAAAAAGTTATTGATTAGAGAGGTATATTTAAAATAAGTAAATAATAATTTTAATCTTGATATCAAAAAGACCTTTAAAAATACCAATTTAAGGTGCAGATGCTAGGGCAACACTATTTGGAGTGGTACTGTAGTTCTTGYAGTTCTATCTCTACATATATCGACATCGTAGGTAATTTACTGAACCTCCCTAAGCCACAGTTTCTCATCCAAAAACTGGGGCTAATAATAGTACCTACTTCACGCGGCTGTTATGACGATTAAAAGTGCTTAGAACACAACAGTATTCAAAGGTCATGAGCAATTGCTATTATTATTGCTGATGATACTGAACAGATCTAAAACACAGAAAGACCAGCTACATAAAAATTAAGTGCTTCTGCATGGCAAAGACAACATAAATGAAGACAAGCGAAAACTAGGAAAAAGATAGGCAATTCAGAATAGAAATACAAATGCCCAAATAATATATGACAAGTAGTTGAGAGATAAAAATTAAAACAAATCATTTTCCCCATCACTTTGACAAAATAAAAAGCAACTTACTAAAATGACTTACTGTTCAAAGCTGGCTTGAATGAGGAGAAATGAGCATTCTCACCCACTACTACTGGGGCTGTCACTTAGTATAGCATATTTTAAAGGGCAGTTTTAATTAATGCTTTTTAACAGAATGCAACCTAGTTCTCCTAAATAGTAGTGCCAAGTAAATATCTGTGCATGTRCCAACATATCTTAAATGTTAACAACAGAATAGTTTTAATTATGGTATAATTTGGTTAGGAAATACTGAGAAATGGTTAAAAAGAAAGTAGTTCCATAGCTGGGCACAGTAACACAAGCCTACAATCCTAGCAATTCAGAAGGCTGAGCAGAAGATTGCCAAAATCAAGACCAACCCCAGCACCTTAGCAAGACCCTATCTCAAAAAATAAGAAGTGATGCAGCTCAGTGGGAAAGTGCCCCTGAATTCAATCTTCAGTAACAAAAAGAGGGAGAAAGGGAGGGGAAGGGAGGGAGGGAGKGAGAGAGAAGGAAGGATGGGTGGGTGGGTAGGTTGGTTGGTTCATTCTATATGAATTAATATGGCAAAATTTCTAAGATATTAAGTAAAACAAAGATGCTGAAAATGTGTAAGAGACCTCCCCATTTATGCAAAATAACCAACCAAAAGACTTCACAAAATTTAACTATCACTATTTGGAGACAACATATATATATTCACACACATTTTTTAAAGTGCATTAAAAAAGGGTTGTTAAGATCAAATTTTCTTTTTTCTTTTCCTTTTTTTTAGGGGGCGGGGCTTCTTCCCACATGATAGGCAAGCACTCTTCCACTGAGCTACAACCCCAGACCAGGACCAAGTTATTTCTAAGGAAGAGGAAACTTAGGAGTTGGGAGAGAGGGGTAGAGCATCCACAGGAACTTCTATTTTGCTGTRCAGAGATTTTACTAAAAGAATGTATGCATCTATTATTTGCATATGCACCAATAAACAAGGGCTTTTTGTACAAAATGTCCACTTTCCTGCTCAACATCACTGCATGTTGCACATTCTTCATATCCAGTTACTTCCTAAGCTCTCTCAATTTTTAAAAATCATTCCTACATCTGTCTAGTCTGCACCATTTCTTTTATGATCTATCTGGTTCAAGTTCACTGTGAAAGAATAAAAGTGTGATTCATGGATCCTACCAAAGATTTTTCCCTAACAAACATCTCCTACATTGCATGGTAAAATCCACATAAACTTTTCTTGTTTATTATTTCATTACATTTACATACCCAAAATTCATGCCGCAAATTCTACTCTCAAATCAAACACCCTAACAATATAAATGGAGCCACACTTAATTTCCCTGCTATAAGCTTAGCATTAAGGATTCCATTAGCCTTAAACAAATTCCCTGTTACCTTTAGCCTATGAATTCAGCCCATGTGGACTTAATATTTATTTKATCTTGAATCTGGTATACTATATGTCCACTGGTTTTTGCCCATGATAGATAGTAAATCCAAAGCTCTGTGCCACCATTCTCCAATCCCAGCTCACAGGAAAAGCCATTGTAGCTACCACTGCCAACACTGTGAGGCAGGTTGTTAGCTCTGTAAACGTTCTTGGTGGTCCATTCTACCTGTTTGAAGCCATCTGTCAGGCTTAGAACCTTCAGATGGTTCCACCATGAAAAGGTCTAGACCAAASTTCAGAAAATGGAATACAATCAACTTTTTAACCTTGTTTCTCAATGCAATAAGTCTCCCTTCCTGAAAATAATAAATCCTTCAATCCTCAATCTCAATCTCCTATCTACTACTATACTAATTTACTTATTACACCCTATTTTCTTCCTCATCCTTGGGATTTTCTTCATTCTCAACACTTTCTGCTGCTTCTAGGAACCACATTCTAAACAAATTCTCTTGAACCTTTCTAGCTCTCTGCTACCATTTCAAAATTGTTCCACTTCTACCATCGATGAACAGCGTACAAGATCTGGCCATATTGTGACCCCTGATCCTCTTTTCTTTGAGGCCATCTGCCTGCCAACCCACCCACCATCTACTGAGGGCCTAATTTCCAGTAATCCTGATGCCCTAAACTTAAGGCAGCTTCCTTAAGTACACCTTCATCTTTCCGTCATAAAGACCAACATATAACCGTGCTAGAGTTGATAAAGAATTTAAGAAAAGTAAAAATAAACTGAAAGTCATGGAAGAATCCAGAGATAATGAGGGAGGACTAGTAAAAGACTTTATGAAAGCACTCCTGGGGCCCCTAGTTTGAATTGGTGATGATTAATTCACTACATTGGATAATAATATCCTAGCTCAATGTCATAATCTAAAACAGCTTAATTTTTCTGTTAAAAAAATCATTTTAGCATACATATGTGTTTTTTTTTTAAATAAATGCCTTTTTTGGGGAGAGGGTATAGTAAAAGGTACAGATGTTTCTTGTTCTGGGGTTTTACCCTGGTGTGTGTGTGTGTGGGGGGGACGTTTAGGAGCATGTTCCTTTGCTATAGAACAATGACTTCATATCCACAGAAATACCTCAGCTGACTTGAAATCTCTGGAAATGAGATGCAAAGTAAATCAGAAAATTTTCTTTAAACTTCTGTTGAGGTGATTCTAAGTAATTTACAGTCCTTTTATGTAAACATAGTCAATATAACAGAATATTGCAATGCCTGAAAGCAGACATGATAGCTTTACAAGTACTAGGACAATATAAAAATCAAAATATCAATATGATGACTTTGTAACAATCCCTGTCAATGGTATTATGTTTAATTTTTTCTTATGGTTGGCTCTCTACTCTAAAGAGCATAATGGGAAAGATGGATTTTAAAATTGCTTTGGTAAATTAAACCAATTCACTCATTCATTCCCTCATTCAACAAGTATTTAGTAAGCACCTACTATGTGCCAGGAACTGGATTATATGCTGAGAAAACAATGGTGAACAAAAACAAATGGGTTCCTTTCGTCATGGAACTGACAGTCTATTAGGAGAGACAGACAATTTCATTATTAAATAAATGTATAATTATAAACCACTTATAATCCTGATACAGCTCCAACATTAATGCAAAAGAATAAATTAAGTCACTGCCTAAAAATAGATTTTTTTCATAATTCTGAAATAACTATAGCTTCTATTACACAATACTCTATAAATCATAAAAATTTGGGGGGGTAAAGAACTTATTGAAATACATACAATAAATTATTTACTCAAATCTATTTTATAGGTGTTATTTATAAATGACTAATATTTCCTCATTTGAGGAAGACCAAGACATATGTGTGTGTTTGCATGTGTGATGTAACCCATATGATCTGTACCTCTCCTACAGAGATACAGCTCCGAAACATACATGTGCAGATTCCTTAAGAACTAGAATCATTTTTATCTCATGCACCGGTTATCACCTAGCACTTACAAGAGTACTTGCCAAGTATTAAGATGTGCTTGACAATTTTTGAATGAACAAATGAATGAACAATAGGAGTTGACAGTTAAAGATGATATGAGACAAGCATATTTGACCCAAAACAACAATTTGAACTACATGTATTGCCAAAAATTAGTGTGTAGGGGCACACAGCTATAAATTCCAATTGATATGATTCTGAAGCCCACTTTAAATAATTCTAAATTAAATGTCCAGCTGGCAATCAACTCTAGCTAACACAATTAGATCACCACCTGTATTTTTCTTTCTTCCAAAATAACAGCAGAGCCTATAGAAGTGCTCTAAACAGATGACTTTAATACAGTAGCCTCTGGCTAGACTTCCTGTTTCTGCTATCACACTGCTCATGCCCACCCTTTCCCATCCGGAGGGATCTTCTCCTGATGCAAATCAGGACGTTATCACTCACCTGTTCAGAACTGTTAATGGCTTCCCATGWCTTTCAAAATAAAACCCTAGCTCTAAGTCTCTGCCCTTCTCTCTCATTGCATCTTTATCCTACTCCAGTCACACCACGCTAACTGTCAAGCCATCCTTTACTACACTTTCTGTTCTTTCTACAGATAACATTTTTATTTTAGATCTTCAAATGGCTTTTTTCTTACTTCAAATCCCAATGTCACCTATAAGAGGTGACAACTTTCACAACCACCCACTTTTATATAGACCACTCCCTCCTTCTCCACACCCTTTCCCTGCTTTATTTTTCTTTCTAACAATGACACACTATATAACATCACTGTTGATTTCCTCCACACTAGATTGTCAGTTTCCCTGATGGCTTATTTCTATATCRGCAATGCAGAGACAGTGCCTGGCACACAACAGAAAATGGATATGTAATAATTAATCAATCAACTAGTACCATCCCATCATCCAAGATGGTACAGTTGTGAAGCTAGTGTTTCACACAGAATGGAAGAATGCTGTTCAACAGTTTCTTATGCTGCATTAAAACTTTTTAAACAAAATTCATTAATGAATAGAAATTACAATTGTTTCTTTCCAAAGGACATCAAAGGTTTTTTTTAACACAGTATGGAAGGAAATAATGATTTACGAAAAACTATCCAACAGTCGGCTGGTGTTAAATAATAAAATAGATAACATTTTTACAGATTGAAATATAATATGAAAGGAAAGACACAATGGAGAATATATTAAATCCTCTTTGATTTGTACGCACTTCTCTATACAATTTCAGGGAAAAAGTTCAAAAGCCAAAAAAAATAATATATTTCAAAACATATTTACAAATGCTAGCAATATATAGTAACAAAAATACTTTTCTACTAAATATTATTTCTGAAATTAAGGGAAAAAAACTCATGAGAAGATGGGCTTGGAATAAATTAATATTTATTCTAGAATTAGTTTCACTCAAAAAATTTAAGCAATCTATTGTATTATGTTCATTCTGTCTAAATAAAAAAAAACACTTTTGGAAAARAATATTTTGGAAAAAATGTTCCATTATTTATTAGAATAAACTTGAGGAACAAGGAACACTTACATCAGTATTGAGGTTCCTCAAAAGACTAGGAATGGAACTACTATATGCCCAGCTATACTACTCCTCAATATTTATCCTAAAGAGTTAGTCAGCATATTATAGCAATACATGCATCCCCAAGTTTAYAGCAGTACAATTCACAATAGCCAGGGTATAGAACCAGCTACGTGCCTGTCAACAGATGAATAAAGAAATGTAGCATGTGTACACAATGAAGTTTTATTCAGCCATAAAGAAGACAAAATAAGTCAGATTCTGAAAGTCRAGGGTTGTATATGTTTTTTCTCATATGTGAAAGCTAGAGGGAGGATAAAGAGAAAAAAGAGGGCAGGGGAAGGAATCTCATGAAAAWAGAAGGGAGGATCAGTAGAGTAGAGGAAGGGGACAGGGCAAGAGAGGAGGGAAGGAAAAGGGGAGATCCTGGGGAATAAAACTGGACCAAATTAAGTTTTGTGCATACAAGAATATTCCACAATGAATCTCACTATTATAAGGCACCAATAAAAAATTTAAGAACTAATAAACACTATAAAAAACATTTTGAGGGGCTGAGATTGTGGCTCAGCGGTAGAGTGCTCATCTAGCACATGTGAGGCCTTGGGTTCAATCCTCAGCACCACATAAGAAAAACAAATAAACAAAATAAAGGTATTGTGTCCAACTACTTCTAAAAAATACAAATTAAAAAAAAACATTTTGAAAAGAAAATATAAAATCCTAAGTATATAACTACATAGAATTCAAAACACAGTAACTTGAGGGGATGAATATAAAGCTCAGTTACAGAATACTTGCCTAGCATTGGCAAGATTCTGGTTTCAATATCCAGCACAGGGCCTGGGGACACACACACATGACACAGTAACTTGAACTCTGTATTTAGCACGAGTAAGTCTAACTTAAAAAAAAGGAGGGAAAAAAAAAAACTATACATTTAAAAAGCATATCCAGTAGATTAATAAGTATGGGCTAGAAAAATATTCTATTAAATGAAAAGGAAAATAACATGTATTCTGTTTAAGTTACAAACTTCTGATATTGAACATTTCTAAATTACTAAGAGTCACCAAGAAGAGATGTCAAGTTCAACTTATATGCACAATAATTTTCAGGATAAATTCYTTAAAGGTTCATATCTCATACAAACATAGACAAAAAGACTAGGACTGGAATTGCTCAATCACATTCCAAAAGGTCGCTTTTGGCTTTCTTGAAAACAAGATACTACTATAGATCTGTATGTAATCTAAGAAAGTAAACATATTTTCTCTTCATTACAGAAAAAGATGTGGTTTCGTGAGCAATAATCAATTGTTATATATTTGCACAGGGTGTATGTGTAAATGAACAAATCTTTAATGCATATCAGAATAAAGCCTATATAATAAGCCTATAATAGTCTATAGATAATGTCATATTTCAGGGTCTTGTATTTCATGGCACCAGATATGATTCAGGCTTATCTCAATCCACATGATAATGATCAGTGAAGCTGATTATTTTATGGGCAAGATTACACATCAATGTTTTTAATAATAGATCTTAAACACATCTCATACTTCTGTGGACATTTTTCTAATGATATCAAACAATTCAATCTAATAATATGACTTTATTTTTACATGACTGAAATACCTACATCAAACAAAACCCAGATTTCCAAATTATCTAAATTCCATTTGAATTTTTGAGGCAACATACCAGGAGATAGAATACTAGGCTTATTAGGAATAAGGTGAAAACTAGATATGTTACTTATTAACTCTGTATAACCTGGGACAAACTGATTCACTTCTCTGAGCCTTAGTTAAAAACTCATGTATATAATAAAGTGAATCTCACCATCATGTATACATATGCAAGACTGAGGTCCTAACTAGAATACAATGTATTCCATGTTCATATAAGTAAATTAAAATATTCTATTGCCATATAAAAYTAAAAAGAATTTTTAAAAAATACAAATGCTTATTATTTGGAAAAATGCAAATAAGCAGGATTAAGTAAATAAAAATTGCTACAATCTCAAAATAAAAAACACCTCATGGAAAATAAGGCAATATCTAAGCTAAAGGCTTGTAAAAATCAAAGGTGAAGCTTACTCAGTAAATGTTTTCAAAAGTGAGGAAGGATTAAAACTTAACCAGAAGTTCTCAGTTCTTTTTTTCTCTCCTTTCCCTGACTTCTGGCAAGTTTTTGGCTTCTGTACTTTTCCCCCTTGGCTACAGTGGGAAAATAATGTATTAAAATTACTGAATAGATCACATGAGTTAATGATACGCAAGTACTATGCACACAAAAAAATCACAATCCTACTGGAAAAAAACTTCATTCTCGATAGAAAAGCCAAGTAGGCAGAAAAGATAAAGTATCCTGACATATGAAATTTTATATTTATATAACACACTTTCAAATGCCAAGTACACCTCATATTAATTACTGTGAAATTATTTCTTGCACTAAACTACTACCTCCTTAAAGATAGGATATCACCTCTGTTTCCTCAATGGCAATATATTGTCAGGCATAAAGATGATGCTCAATAAACACGTAGGTTAACATATGCTATATTTAGCCTTCCTGTTATATAAGCAATAATGTAGAGAAGTAGAAGAATTACCATTTTCTTTCCGTAATCTTGTTATGAACTTCTTCGGAGGTATTACTCCAACCTTTTTCTTCTGAGTGGCTATGCTATGGAAGAGATCTGCTAAGCAAGTAAGAAGGTTCTCCTTCTTCCTAGGCTGACTCTTGTATGCTAGAACTTTTTCCCGAAATGGACGACAAAAATAAAGTGCTTGAAGAACTGAATTGCAGTAGCAGGTATTCCCAAACTAGAACGAGGGGAAAAAAAAAAAGTTAAATTTAGGGCAATGCATTTCAAGAGAAAGAATTTTTCTATGATTAGTTAGAATAAAAGGGGAAGAAAGGGAACTTAAAAAATCCACATAAAAATATCTGAAAGCATAGAAATAATTATTTGGCAAATTAGCCATTTTAATATTAAATAGATGCTTTAGGCATCGATTTCAGGTAAAAAGTGAAATAAAATATATGCAATAAACTTGGACTCTATGAAAACTGATTTAAAACACTATATAATTATGAACAAATATTAGTTAGGGCATAGGATTCTAATTTTTCCTTAAATTCCCATTGTTATAATGGCTTACTAAACATTYTATATATTATACATTTTAAATAACTCATAAAAATTCTTTAAGAACAACACAAAAAATAAGATTTTTCTATTAAGTTCTGAGGCATAACCCAAATAAATACATTAAGCAAAAACATAAAACAAAAATTAACAAGATCCCTTGATTTCTATTTGTTTGTTTTTTATTACCTCTATCTCCCTGTGAAATTGATCTTTTACTTCCTGGATTTGTTTGTCAATGTGATCTTTCATTGTCTGATTTTGCTGTCTCATGTCTTCCTTGAGACTCCAGATCATCTGAAGCATGTATGTCCTGAGCTCTCTATCTGACATTCCATCTGTTGCAGCTATTACCTCTTCTAAAGTTGAGTTGACCTGCATTGCCTGTGGTCCTTTCTTTCCTTGTCGTTTCATACHGCTGGCGTTTCTTTCTGCTTGGTGAAATTGTTGTGTCTTTGATATTTTCCCTCTATTTATTTATATTGCTCTTGTATAGTTGGAAAATCACTCTTGCAGGGCAGGTAGTGGYTGTGATCCTCCTCCAATTAGTGTGATCCGTCTACCATGCTGGCAGGCCCTAGGTCTGCTYTGCTGGTCGGTCAAAGGTCCGCCTACCCAGCAGGCGCCAGGGGCACCTGTGTCACTCCGTAGGTTGCTGGGCCTAACCTCCCGATGGGTTGCAGGTTCGCCTAGCTTGCAGGTACTGGGGGAGGGGCCGGTTCCGCCCCTCAGCAGGCTTTGGGCCCCTCTGCTGGTGTTCACAGTCCCGCCTACCTTGCAGACACTGGGGGAGGGGACGGGCCTGGCCCTCAGCCGTCCGCCGGACCTGTTCTAGTGGGTCCGGTCCGCGTTCCCCACAGGCGCGTGTAGCTGCTCTGTCACTTGGCTGGTTGCTGGGCCTGACCCGCCCGCCCGTGGGTTGCAGGTTCGCCTAGCTTGCAGGCACTCACAAGATCCCTTGAAATGTTGAAAAGTCATCAACTGGCAATCTAACAACCACTAAAAAGTCAGATTGCATGATTCTTGCTTTATAAGCACCAGTTAAAACCTGAACTATAGATCTATCTAAGGGGAGTATGTCTCTACATCTTACTGAACTTTAATTTCCTCCTCTTTAAAAATGCAGGGAGGGTTAACCCCATCTTATAAAGTAAAGCATAGCCTGATAAGTATTTATTACCCTTATTTTTCGTATTAAGAGACATTGGCTCCAAACATCAGTTAATAGAATACTCAAAAGTCAATTAATGAGGACTTGAGGAACACTTTAAAACTGGAACAAAAATAATTCTCAAATAATTTCTACAGAGTGAGATCACAGATAAAGTTAAAAAAATAGATAACAAGATGGGGATGTAGCTCAGTGGTAGAGTGCTTGTTATGTACAAAAAGCTTACTAGGTACCCCTATTAAAAAAAAAAGAAAGAAACCATATCAGAGGAAAAAAAAAGAGGAGGGCCCACACAGTAGTGCACACATGTAATCCCAGCAGCTTGGGAGGCCCTAAGCAATTTAGCAAGACCCTGTCTCAAAGGAGGAAGGGAGGAGGGCTACTGACTCAGTGGTTGAGTATCCTGGGTTCAGTCCCTAGTACAAAATGGGAGGGGTGGGCCTCTTAAAATTGAAAATAAGCATTAACAATGTAGAAAAATGAATTCTACTGTCATGTAACTAACTAGAACAATTAAAAAAATTAAAAAGAGAAAACAAGCAGTAATATAAGAAACCAAAAGATATCATCTAAGAATAAAAAGAACCATAAAGAAATCTATTGATACCATCATTTGGAAATTAAAATACATATAGAATAAAGTAAGCAAGACATTATGTTTATACCCTTAGGAGCCAAACATTCTAATATAAAAGAAAAAAAGATACTGTAATAACAATCAGAGAAGTGAAAGCCCTGTAAATTTAAATTGGAAATATCTATATAAACTCATGCACACATGTGTGAATGTGTATGTAGCGTGCATGTGTGCTTTCAAACTCTATCCAATGGAAGGACAGGCAGGGAAGCAGTGAGCTTCCCCTTCTCCCAGACTGTGATCTCTGAATACTTTTTCCTACTTAAAGGAACCAGGATGCCTTGGAGTATGGCTGGATGGTATCTAAGACAAGAAATACACAATGTACAGGATTAGCCTGGGATCTATTTGTATGAATATAAGAATTAACTTTCACTCAAAAGAAATTACTGAAATGGATCCAGGAATTTAAAATGTCATTATAAAGAAAAAAGGAATAAACACTCATTAGTATCCATTAGAGGCTAYAAACTATCATATGCAATAGAAACATCCAAGTTTTACTTTGCCTTTTTTATAAGAACCACATTTCAGGGGCACTAAATAATTAATGAAAAAAAACGCATTTATAGGATTATTCCAACAAATAAAATGAGAAGAAATGGTTATAAATAATGGAGTAGGCAACAATTATCAACAGATGCTAACTAAAAGTATTAGGTTAAAGGTTGATGAGGATCCTTAAAACGGAGGGATCAACCCCCAATGCATTTCAGCATAAATGGCAGTGAATAAGTAATTTATTGTAACTTGTGATAAACCTCCTATGAAATACTCTTTACTGTAAAAAAGAAAAAACACTAAACTTAAATCAAGTTTCTCTAAATATCTTATAAATTAGTATTATAATTTAGATAATGGAGGAACAAGCTAGACAATACCACAAAGAAGGAGTAGGCCAAGTTTTAAAATGTTGGATAGTTCCAGGACAAATGATCAGGTTTCTGCACAAATCAGTTATGACAAAGAAAAAGGCTGAGAAGAACTCAAGACACATCACATTCAAATCACAACAGTTACACACAGAATTTACCCAGATCCTGGGACTGGGGGATTGTAGCTCAGTGGTAGAGCACTTGCCTAGCACATTTGAGGCCCTGGGTTCTATCCTTAGCACCACATAAAAATAAATCAATGAAATAAAGGTATTGTGTCTATTTAAAAGAAAAAGGAGAAAGAGGGGGAGAGGGATTCACCCAGATCCTGACCTGAACAAATCACCTATAAAAAGTTAGCTGGACCCTGTCTCAAAATAAAAAACAAAAATAAGAAGGGCTGCGGATGTGGCTCAGTGTTAAGCATCCCTGGTACCAAAAAATAAAATAAAATAAAAATAAAAAAATTACCTGTAGACAAGACAAGACATTTGAATGTGTACACTAATACTAGATGACCTTGAGATAATCTTGATATGAGAATGAGAGGGTTACAATTTTAAAACATCCCTATCAGTTGGACGAGCATAATTTTAAAAAAAATTTTATGCCCAAAATGACATAAATGACTAGGATTCTTCTTCTTGAAGGTTTGGGGGAAATAACTGGAAGAGAATAAAGAAATTAGCCAAATACTGGTAAGCATTAAAGCTAAATTGATGGGTTTATATGGGGATTCACATTACTCACCGCCTTTTGTTTCTAAAAAATGATTTTAAGTGGTTTGTTTTGTTTTTAAATAAGCAATGCTACATGAATTTGTGTGTCATCCTCCAGMAGGGGCCATGCTAATCTTCTCTGTCTCGTTCCAATTTTAGTATATGTGCTGTCGAAGCAAGCGAGCACTAAGTGTTTAATCTTTAAGGTAAACTATATCATCGTGTGTCAAATTCATAGCAAATATAAGATACAACTAGTCTAAATTCAGAGGGAAGATGGAAACTAGACAGAGCCAATAATTCCATGGGAAAAAACCTCAAAAGCATCTCCAATGACCTCCTGTCTGAACACCTTTTCTTCCACATATATTAAACCAATAGACCTCTCTACCCCAGTAAGAAGTACAGTATTAATAGAAATCTCAAATGAAAGCAGGACTTACTGACATTTTTTAAAACACTTGGGAGAGCATGACCTCTCCAGATGAGAATGAGACCCAATGAGAATGTGTGACTTCACATTCACACTGCTAGTCAAAACAAAGCACTGGTTTCAGAGAGATGCTGTAAAGGGTTTCTAGAGAAAGGCTAAAAGAAGTGTGTGATCCTGACTTACTGATATTGSTGATCAGGTAACTCCGGATATACTTCAATAAAGCTTCCCCAGTGACTAAGCATAGCTACAATAGAATCTATACTCATAGGGCTGGGTTGTGGCTCAGTGGTAGAGCACTTGCCTGGCATGTGTGAGGCACAGGGTTCGATTCTCAGCACCACATAAATAAATAAAGATCCACTGTCAACTAAAACAATTTTTTAAAAAAGAATCTATGCTTATAAAAATTAATTTACCATTTTCCATTTTATAGTATAAGCTCATCTGAAAATTTTTAGCATTTACATTATAAACCTAAGGAATCTAATGACCAACAAACTTTGGTTCTGTCTTAAAAGAAAAGATAGAATTTCCATAATCTGGGCATCTTTATTAAAGAAAAGGAAATAGGGAAATCTAACATTAACTCCTATAGTAGGTAGATAAAAACAAAAGATATCAACTCAAAGTTATATCAGAACTATTATGATAGTGAAGAATGATCTACCCAYAAAATATAAGCAACAAATGGGGAAAGAAAAAATTAAAAGGAATCTCTATTTTGTACAGATTAATGAAGTCAGCCTTGCACTACTGTCCATACAACTTGCTGATCTTCTGACTATAAAGCAATAGGTAATATTATAATCAATTCTTAAGTCCACTACTATAGTCTT